CCCCAAAACCCCAAAACCCCAAAACCCCAAAACCCCTAAATCATAAATATTCATTGAAAATTAAAAATAAGTTAAGAAAATGAATATTATGAATGATATCAGAAGTAAATATTTGGTCTAAACAGGATTAGAAAGCAGAGACTTAGACCTTGTCGTCGCTCATGAGGACGCTATCAAGCCCAGAATGAGCAGGAGCATAAGCAAAAGTAAGATATACCTGATTATTTTTAATGCAATGCATGATGCCATAATTTTCCTCAGTTGTTAAAACTACTAGCTATAAAGTGTTTAATAAGTTATAGGTAATAAAAATACGAACATTCTTCGAGTCAGCAAGATAATTCCCCAAATAAAACCAGCAATAATGTTCAATGACCATGATTCTCCTAGCTTCAAGGTCCAAAAGCAGCTAAAATCAAGTAAATAGTTTCTTTTTCAGAGTTTTATCACTAAATTTGCTCATTTCCATGTCTAGTGTCTTTTAACTCACTTTACCATACCTAAGAACTTCTGTATTTATGTTAAATTTCAAATACGGAGCCTGACACATAATTTTCACAATTTTTTACTTACCAAAGCTCAGCTTGGAGACCCACAACTTGGGCTTTACTCATGAAAGCATAGGGAAAGAGTCTTCCAAAACCTCCAATAAAGATATGGCCAAGAGATCAGATACAGGTGAGATAGCTGATAAAGAGATTGATTAGGAGTGGGCCTAGAGATGGTTCTTTTAGGAGATCAGGATTAAATAAAATGCCAATAATACATGCTACATTCATATTTCTATGAGACATATGGGAGATAGGGCTAGTTTAGAGGTATATAAGAGTTAGGCATGTTTACGAGTAATTGGAAGTAATGGCCAGGCCTAACCCCGACTACTTTTCTTGCATATTAAATTTTTTAGTGGGAACTAAGCTTAGTATTTTGATGAATATTAAATTTCTAATCTCATTGATTTTTATTTAGCAAAGCGCAAGAAGACATCACCCTTCATTATAAAGAACACTCAACCAAATGCACCTCTAAGTGAAAAATCTGAATCCAAAAGTTCAAACCAGAAGCACAGCAGAGCCACAAGCTCTATGGACCGCTACAGTACGTCTATCTTCATATCCAAACTTCTTTCAAAACAAAGTCTATTACCAAAACCAAAAGCCAAAGTTTCTCAATTTTACCCAAATTTTCAATAACCCCGCCTATTTTCTCAATATACCTCCAAACAATAGCCCTTTGCCAACACCCCACTCCTCAAATCCCTAAAATCCCACTAGAGACCCCCCTTTCCCCTCTAACCCCAAAATACAGGCGAAGTCTTCAAAAGATTCACAGCCAAAACAAACCTAAAATACTGGTAAACCCCAAAAATTCTTCCTAAAATTCCAATTTTGTTCCTAAATTCTCAATTTCTTGCTTCAAAATCGAACATTTATAAGCCAAGGTCGGGATTTTACTTTAAAATTTAGGACTTTTGTACTGGGAAAAGAGGAGAATTGGGAATTTGTTTGTTAAGGGTTGGAATTTAAGGGAATTTTGGTATAGAACGATTGAGAATGGAGCAGAGGGAAGTGAACGGAAGGAGGATGCAGAGGAGGTAAGGAGGGGATGGATTAGGGGGGTTGAGGGCTTGTTAATGAGTTTTATCTTTGTTGTTAGATCATTTTTTGGGGGTGATTTATTAGATTTTGGGGATAAAGATAGTTTGATGCTATTAAACATTTCGAAATATGAGTTCTCAGTTTAATAGATCTTAATGAAATCTAAAAAATATGATCTTCATTGTCTGACCTTTACACAGCTCATTCTTCCCAAACCTCAGAATCCTGAAGAAGAGGTGAACCCAATATTCCAACAACAAGGATTTCAAAATCTCAAAAATCAATCAAACCCAGGTCAAATTCAATTCTACAAAACCCAGATACCCCCTGTCGAAGACACTGAAGTGTTAAAACCTCGCATAAACCCTCATTCAAAGCACAAGACCCACATAAAATAGGGCCAATAGAATCAAGGTTCAAAAAGTCCGTCAGCTACAGAATCTAAAATAAAGGACTTACCGAATCTGACATTGACAGTAAGTTTCCAAGTCCATTCCCCATAATAATTTTAGACAAGAAGGAAGACCCCAAGCCTTACCAAGAAGGCTACATCAACTCAAGAGTCTGCACTACCATAATCAACAGACTTGGGCTCACAAAGAGACTCAACAGCAATGAACTGGTATTCGCCAATTTTTCACCTTATGCATAGCTTATCAAAAGCATTATCAGAAATATCTCATCTAAGCCAAGTACTCTCACCAAGTTCATACTATAGCATCTGCTGAGTCAAAGAGAACCAAAAGGCCTAAATCCAAAGAAAGGAAGTTCAGGGGGAGAAAGGCTTTTTACACCCGTAAATTCACACAGTCAAAGTCTCCAGCCAAGCTTCTCATGAGAATGACCCTAAACAGCCGGAATAACAGATTGAGAGGTATATTTCGAGATCTTTAGAGGCTTAACGATGTGTATCTAGATGAACTCAGAACTTACAATGAGCCGACCGACGACTTATCGTCAGATATGAAAACTTGTATTAGCATCATAAATCAATGAACTAAGCCAGGGAAGAAAAGAAAGAAGAATAAGTTTTCTCCGGTAACGAATTCAAGGAATGTGACTAACTTCGGTATGATGCTTGAATATACTTATCTAAACGTGTAGAGCAAGTGAGGTCTCCATTTCATCAAGAAGAACCTACCAGAGAGATCCTATTACGCCCATCCACATGAGAACCTCGTGATACTTATAAGTTCAAGGAGATGGATTCTACTTCTAGGGAGGAAGAAGTCCTCATCCCAACATCCAAAGAGAATTGTAACTCTAAACGGTTAGAATCTTTAAACACCCCGAAGGAAGGTAAAGAAAGCGAAAAGGTTGGACCGGATCATTTTTACAAGATGTATCCTCCAATCGATACTCCTAAGGATTTGAAATCCAAAAACAAGCGATTGAAAAGGTTGAAGAAGGAAACTAAGGAATTTTGGGACCCCTTCAGTAAGTTTCGCAGCTTAAGTCGTAGGCTCTGTTTCGTTAAAATAACATTAACAAGTTCAGGGATGCTAATTTTACGAATAAGTACCAAGTCAGTATCGATAAATGTAAGAGATTTAAACTGATAAAGCGAGTCTCCAAATCTCTTGGGAAGGATGCAAAGAAAATAGAGATTTCATCTAAGAATTCAAACCTGAATAAGTTCTTGAAGGAAGGCCACCAAGAGTTTTTCATTAAGATTTTGAATAACTACTGGTTCAAGGATTGTGATGAGTTCATTCAGACGAGAAAGAAGGCTTATGTCGAACAGGAAAAGGGCAAATTTAAGAAAATGTTTGGCACACAATAAAATATACCTCTCAATCTGTTATTCCGGCTGTGGGGTTTTGGGGTTTTGGGGTTTTGGGGTTGGGGTTTTGGGG